GCCCAGGCTGCCAGGGAGAAATCTGCAGTTTGGGGTGTTTGAGGCGTGATGCGAGGCCTGACGCCAGGGTTTAGTCGTGACAGAGCCCATCCGTAACGAGGAAGGCTGCATGGTGCTGAGAGCGCGTTTTGTCTTATGGGACCCTCGTCAGTGTCCGCACCTTTTTATCTTCCAACCTGTGTGTGCGAGTGGTGCTCTTAGTGCTGATTTGATAGTAGCAAGAGTGGAAGTCCTCTAACCCGCAGAAAATACAGTATTTAGTGATGATTAAAAGTTATCCTTTACCCTAATGTACTGGGGAAACTCATGGAGTCTGTTCAACCGTTTGGGACACCACTGAGGCCACCAAAATGAACAATTTTAGTCTAATTTCAATGTGGCAATCTGTCATATAGGTTGTAATAGAGACACACACAAATCTCCATACACTGGGTGTCCCTAATCTGGGAACACCCTTATTATGGAGGAGGAAGTGGCTCTGCATGCTACCACTGCTCTCCTGCTTCTCCCCCTCAGCTGGGGGAATGGCAGTGCAGGGATGTGTTTCCCTTGAGGCCTTTCCCCTCTGCTCCCATAGCATGGGCAGTGTGGTGCCTGGGAGTGTCGGGGAGCCTCACTTCCGTCCCCCTCATGCGCAGACCCCTCCCTGGCCTGGCAAATTCTTCAATCGGGCATACACTGTATCCCAGGTTAAAGAGGTTCAAATATATCAGAAGACCTTTCAGTTGCTACCTATGTGGGCTTTAATTGAACTGGTGGTCTCCTTGTTTATTTCTTGAGCTAGTCTCCATTATATAATAGTCTTCAGTAGTTCATAAATTAATATTCATAAGATCTTTGGGGTAAGGACTCTTACGTTGTACAACATCCCAAGTATGCTTAATGTTAACAAATAATAAAATGCGAGTGTAGTCATGATTCTTTTGTGGGGGATCTTACATTTTCCCCAGGCCTTGCTGATAATGCTCCTGTGAAGTGAAGAGAGATGATGTGTGTAGCTAGGAAGTCAGATTGGAAATATCTGAAATTTCCAGTCCTTTCCCAAATTTGTTTCATACTTGTATTCAGATTTATAAAGGGCTAGTTTAAGTCCAGTTCTAAGTGCCACTGTTGGCAAAATGTACACACATGCTTAACTTAATGTTCTGTGAATAGTCTCAATAACTACAAAATTTACCTCTCTTCAACTTGTCATCTTCCTGCACAGTGCCATCTGCAGGACACTTCCTACACTTAGAGACTGACTAATCATGGCAGGTTAAGTAAGCGTGTGTTTCTTTGAACAGGCTCATTAAATGGACAAAATCTATTTTACAGTAAAGAAAAGAACTTACTAAATGGGCGGCTTCCTTTAAAACGTCATGAATAATCTCAGGCTCTTGTGCAACTGATGTTAAGTGTAAACTTATTTTCATACTCTACATAGAACTTTCCATACCTCCCCAAATAAACATCATTAGTGCCTGCGATGTGCAGTCCACATCAGCAGCCTTATATGTGAATGTATGTGTCCATTAGGGATGTTATCATGTAATCTTTTACACAATTAACTGATAAATTTGGGTTTATCAGTTAATCCTTACTACTACATGCACACATACACCCTTGCTGGCTCTGTATCGGAGGTGGCTGGGGGGGAGAAGAGGAGCCAGCTTCAGCACGTGCTGGCTCCTGTGTAGCTGCCTGCCACTTCTCCCACGGAGGCAGCAGTGCAGGGAGGCAGCAAGCGGGAGCTGACATGTGCAAGTAGCCAGCTTTTAAAATGCCTCTCTCTGCATGCCACTTCCCATGGAGCCCCTTGTCTCCCTTCCCTCTTGCTACCTCCCACAGAGGCAGCAGTGCAGAGGGTGCATACAAGAAGCCAGCTACTTGCATGTACCGATTCTACAGAGCCTCCTCCTCCTGCCTGTGTATCAGAGGACAGTACTCACAGGGGAGAAGGTACTCACAGGGTCTACGTCTACACTGGCATGATTTTCCGAAAATGCTTTTAACGGAAAAGTTTTCCGTTAAAAGCATTTTTGGAAAGGCACGTCTAGATTGGCAGGATGCTTTTCCGCAAAAGCACTTTTTGCAGAAAAGCGTCCGTGGCCAATCTAGATGCGCTTTTCCGCAAAAAAGCCCCAATCGCCATTTTCGCGATCGGGGCTTTTTTGCGGAAAACACTACTGTGCTGTCTACACTGGCCCTTTTGCGCAAAAGTCTTGCCAGCTGTCTACACTGGCTGCTTGAATTTCCGGAAAAGCACTGACGATCTTACATGAGATCGTCAGTGCTTTTCCGGAAATTCAAGCAGCCAGTGTAGACAGCTGGCAAATTTTTCCGCAAAAGCAGATGATTTTGTGGAAAAATTTGCCAGTCTAGACACAGCCAGGGAGAAAGCTGGCTCCCTCAAACACTGCCTCCCACCTGCTTCTCCCTGCACATCCCACTAACGTACAAACAGAGGCTTCAATCCTGCATTGGCATTGGCTCATACAGAGCTCTGTTGACTTGAGTAGGGCTCTGGATGGCTACAAGAGTGCACTAGGAGGTCTAAGGATTCATCCCCATGGAATATGGTATAAGATCAGGATCTCATGAGTTATGAATAGTTTCAAAGGTAAAATAAGAGGACACTCATATAGATGCCAGCACTTGCATGATATAATTCATATATATTGCAAAGCTATATATGTTTTTTTGGACCGTATAAACATTCTATAAGATAGGACATTTTTGTATGACAAAACTTGTCTATGCTACATCAGATGGGAATAAGCAGATTGAGGAAAAACTGCTATTTAGGACATTTTTGTATGACAAAACTTGTCTATGCTACATCAGATGGGAATAAGCAGATTGAGGGAAAACTGCTATTTAAAACAATCCACATTTGTTTGTTTTTTCTTGTAGACTAAAAGTTTGCTTGCTAATTTTGTCCTCTTCAATTTGTATATGCTGTGTAGCATATATTTACCTTTTTTTGAAGTTTCTTCCTTTCACCCTTTAAAAAAAGGGGAGGGGGATCCCTAATATTATGAATTCTTAGAGATATTTTAAATACTTTAAACAGAATAATTACTAGATAAATGTTGTGTCTGTCTTTTGGGCAGTCTCTGAACACTTAGGTGTGTTGAAAATAAATTATGAAATCTGTTCTATGTAGAATGTTTCCAAGCTCACGCCTCTTTCGCCAGAAGTCATCAGCCGACAAGCTACAATTAACATAGGTAAGAAAAGTAAAGTTGATCACAAATATTAGTATAACACATACCTATTGTTGTGCACAGACCTGGAAAGTCTTAATTAAAAATTCTACTCAGGAAAATCCAAACAGAAAAACTGTTTTAATAAAACAGAACATTAATCAACACTTGTATTGACATTTATTTTTATAAAAATGATCATTAGGCCTACACTAATAGGCAGTGTTCTTTTAAATATGAGTGTTAACAGCCTGCCAAAGGAAACCTGTCAAGTTCTTACATTGAAGGAAGGCCACGACGGAACAAGGTGACTAAGGCAGTATAAGATCTTGGGAATGAAATTTTTTAGTTAAAGCAGAGGTGGCATTTTGTTGGGGGTTTTGGTAGGAGTGCTCTTAAGTGAAAGGTGTTTTGCCTGAGTAAAGCCCTGATCTTGAAATGAGCTCCATGTGAATGTACAGCTCTGTCCACACAGCTCATTTCAAGATCAGTAGGTTACTGTATTAAGTTGCTGTAAAAAGCTAGTTAAGAGATCTGTACATGCTTACATTAGAAGCTCTGGACTCATAGGATCCAAAGGTTTGCAGATAGAGCCCTGCAGATCTGCGGTTATCCACTTTACATCCACGAATATCCGCATCCACAGATGTGTATGCAGATATTCATGACTAATTTTTGCAGATACGAATGCGGATACAGATTTTGTACCCAGAACCCTGCAAATATGTGGATATCTGTGAGTATTCACATCTGCGGATGTGGATGCTAATATCCACAGCTCGTTTTTGTGGATACAGATGCGGATATGGGTACAAATTTTATACCCTGCAGGGCTATGCTTACAAGCGTCCTGTGCAAACTGCAAACCTTGATGTTGAAAGATTGACAATTCTCTGTGTGTTATTTGTAGAAGAATGTTGCACAAACTGTGCGTTGATTAATTTTTGCTTTTTAAAATGTAGGCACAATTGGTCATGTGGCCCATGGAAAGTCAACGGTAGTAAAAGCTATTTCTGGAGTTCACACTGTTAGATTCAAAAATGAACTGGAAAGAAATATCACTATCAAGCTGGGTTATGCCAACGCTAAGGTTAGTCGTCATTACTATGAAACTAAATGTACAGTACCTAGTTTGGCTGTTCTGTGTGAAAGTACTTATTTGACCACTGTTGGGTTAAGCCTCTTTTCCACCTTTTTTTATACTTACAGATCTACAAACTTGATGACCCCAGTTGCTCCCGACCAGAGTGTTATCGGTCCTGTGGAAGTAGTACGCCAGATGAGTTCACTACAGATATTCCTGGGACCAAAGGGAATTTTAAACTAGTCAGGTGACTGATCTAATTGTTCTAATTCAATTGTACAGTTTTTGTACATACTTTAATGGTGTGCTTACACATCATTTCATGCAAACCAGTCAGTTCAATTGGTGGTAACTGGCTTTTGTGTTTGCCATTCTTATGCAATAGACACGTCTCTTTTGTCGATTGTCCGGGCCATGATATCTTGATGGCTACTATGCTGAACGGTGCAGCAGTCATGGATGCAGCGCTACTTTTGATAGGTAAAATTTGGGCATAGAATTTGAGCTTCATGTTGTATTGTTATGTTATAAATAACTTAATATTGAAAATAAAATACAAAAGGTAATGAGGACCAGCTATTACAAAAATTGTGATTGTCATTAAATCTTGTGAAAAGCTGTTATGAAGAGAATATCGTACCATCTTAATAGATAGGTTTGAAATTGTGCAACAGAATTTTAGCACCTTCACTTGTTCAATAGCTGAAGCGATATTTAGCTGTTGGTATGATGGCAAGCAAGTGGTGGGTTGAGATGAAATTTTGGGACTGTTCTTACTTGTATGATAAATCTAGATGCTTAGGCTTATTTGAGCAGGCTTTTCTCTCAGCTATTTTACCTGCCGTTGCTATTAGTATAAATATGTAGTATCAATGTCCAAGAAAGGAGGGGATAGGATGGGGTGAGGTGGGAAGTGATGATAAAGCCATTGTGATGTGAACAGAATTAAAGGACTCCATCTGGGCCTGTCTTTCTGTTGATAGATTGATTTAGGGAGAACTTACGCACCTGCTCTCAAATCAGATTAGTGTAACACCAAATAAATTCAACTGTGTATTATGATGTGGTTTAATCAGACATAATTATGTATTAATTAATTAGTCTTTCATTTATAGATCACCAAGACACTTGACAAAATAGAGTGTACAGACGCTTGACTGTCTTTTTAAACAGTCTATAATAAGGATGTTAGATAATGTTTATTTTAGTGTAGCCGCAAAAAAGTTGCTAAAATACTCCCTAGAGGTGGGGGACGTAGCCTGTGCGCTCCCAGCCCCACTCCCGGTGAGCCCCCTGCTGCTCCACACTGATACTGCTGATACAGAGGCAGCAGCAGCCCCTGTCAATGGGGGCCTGAGCTCCCCACAGACAGCTCCCCGCTTCCCCCCGTTTCCTCTGTATCAGCCTTTAAGCTCAGGGGCAGGAGGAGGCAGCTCTGTGGGAGCCAGTAAGCATGGGGGCCCAGCTTAAAAGCCAGCTCCTCACAAGCACCAGCAGTGTGTTCTCCTCTCCCCTCCTCCTCGCTGCCTCTGATAGAGAGGCAGGAAGGGGGGGGTTGTGAGTAGTCATTTGGATTAACCAGTAAGCCTAGGTTAAGAGGTTAAGTGACTTTCCCATGGTTATACAGCAAATTAATGGCAGAAGTAGATTGAATAAACAGGGTTCTGCTCTATCTAATTTGGACTAGGGATGTAAGTGAGGCAGCAAAGGGAGGGAGGAGTAAGCCAGTTCCCCCCCAGCACTGTCTCTGTGGTACTGCCTCTTTCCGTTCCGCCTCCACTGCACTTCTAACTCTGATCAGGGCAGGGACTGGGGACATTGATGCAAAGCAGTCTCTGTACATAGTGGTCCCAGGCTTAACATGAAACAGCCTCTGTTCACAGCAGCCCGGGCTGGCTGCTGGGACACCTGTGGATGGGGGCTGCAAACTGGAACTGAGCAAGCCTGGCTCGTTCCAGGTCCAGCAGCTGCCTCCACCCCAGCTCTGCAATTTAAATGTAGTAAGAGCCAGGCTGCCTGCTCACCTTTTAAACTGCAAAGCTGCAGTGGGGGGTAGTGTTAATCCTGCAGTATCGGATTGTGATGGTGGTAGAATTTCTAATGACTACACGATTAGCTGATTACTCGCTTCCAACTGAGCAAGCCTGGCTCGTTCCAGGTCCAGCAGCTGCCTCCACCCCAGCTCTGCAATTTAAATGTAGTAAGAGCCAGGCTGCCTGCTCACCTTTTAAACTGCAAAGCTGCAGTGGGGGGTAGTGTTAATCCTGCAGTATCGGATTGTGATGGTGGTAGAATTTCTAATGACTACACGATTAGCTGATTACTCGCTTCCTAACATCTCTGATTTGGACTGGGGCCAGATTGGATACTCCGAATTTCAGATGATCTGGAGAATGGGAAAGTGCACTGTCGTAATACCCTCTAGTGGCCACACAAGAGATTGCTTGCTTCTAGACCTGTGTGCCCTAGTAGTTTGGTTAATTTAGAAAGCCGAATAATGGAGGATTGGATAAAGGGGCCTCTACTGTATATTTTTTTTAGAACGTACTCAAACTTGCATTTGTGTTTGTAACAAACTGCCAGATGAAACTGCCCAGTGTCAAACTACATGCAACTGAAATGTAAAGTTGAGATCTAAATTTAAACATAGTTCTCAGTCACCACTTCTGAAAAAAACCTGAATGGATAGATATCTAGACACCCCTGAACGCCACTGTGCTAGTACTTTCAAACCAAAGGGATAGGAAAGGTAATGTCTAGTTGTCAGAGCTCTCCACTAATGCCTTCCCCAATATTAATAGATTAAATCCCCGATGAGTTTTAATATTGTAACAGCATGTTGGGGGGAATGTGACTACCTAGGGCAGTGGCCCCCAACCTTTTTAGTGCCTCCAAGTGCCGCGCGCCCGGGGCC